TAACAAAGGGAGGATTCAAGGTCACCCGATCCGGCCCTAACTACATGAAAAAGGAAAGTTTAAGTCTAGTCCTAAAAGTAGAGAGGGAGTCTGTCTCACTAATCCAAACTGGGATTAAAGAATAAGATAATGAAGCTTGTAATAAAAAGTAGAAAATTCTATATTAAAAGAAGTTCATCAACATAGCCTGTACATTTTTTTTCTATTGTAGATTGATCTCACTCAGCCCCTGGGCCCTCAGGGACCCTTTGACATCATCCTTCACAAGCTGTCTGACGTAATTGTGGAAGCTGAGCACGATAGCCAATCACAGCAGCTCCTTGATAACTTTCAGGTAATGCTGCACCTATTTAAACTATTCATGTTGCAAGTCCAGCAAACTGTGTGTTCATCTGGGGCTGCTGACAGAGGATACTCCAGTACCCTCTGCATGTAGTCTTTTAATCTCGGGTGTTAATAATAATGGTGCAGCTGGACGTTTTCATTAATGAGCAGTTAGTGACTCCTCTCTCTTTCCCACCACAGAGTTATGTTTCAGCTCATCCTGACACAGTGCTGCTGGATCCCCTGCCTGCCATGGCTAAACTATTAGACCGCTTTATCTCGGGTCGGATAATGAGCCAACTGAACAGTTCACTCCGAGGTGACTGCAGCTTCTTAGCCCAACGGTAACACAGCTTACAGCTCAATCGCAGATATTAACAGTTACTCATTCTTCTTTGTTTGTCAGACTGGCGTATCTGCAGTCCCCCATGCCTCGAGGTCCACAGTGGCAGTGACCTGTCATCCATTCAGCAGGCTGTGATAAGACAGGGCCTAACATTTCCTCTCAGTCAGTTCACTTAATGTCTGTCCTCCACATTTCTTACTTATTATCTTTGTGTGCATGCATGCATGTGTGTGTGTGACTGAAGCCTGGAGGTAACATGCAATTCAGTTTTATAAAAATAAAATACTAACACACAAACACTTCCTCTTTTCCTCACCTCAGTTTGTAAAACCAGAGTGGCACACGGCTCATATTCACATGAGGTAGCTGATTTGGTTTTTCCTGCCTCGCAAAATCCCACTTGATATCTACTAACTACTAACTGTAAAATGTATTCTTGTAAGTTTCCATTTCTTAATCTCATGTGGTCTCCATGCTGCAGATGTGTCTGCTCTTCAGTGCAGCCAGTCTGGCTGATATCCATCCTCCCTGTGTGCTTCAGAGTTTTGTGAACCACGGAGCCGTTTTGTACAAAGTGTTTGTGGTAGGAGACAAGCACTGCTGCGTAGAGAGACCCTCTATCAAGAACTTTCCCTCCGGCCCCTGTGGTCAGTTTCCACCCCGCCAATATTCCGTCTTTTATCATTTAACTTTATATTTTAACTTTTTTTTTTAACTCACTTGCATCGCCCTTACCTTTCTTGCTTTTCCTTTTGTTTTGTGTCCCTTCCTTTTGAGTTCCAGCATTTCATTTTCTCTACTACTTTTACTTTCATGTGCCACTGTTATCACCTAGTTTTGCTTTCTGTATAACTGTTTCTCTTTCTCCCTGCCTGCAGACAGGAAGACCATCTTCTTCAACAGCCAAAAGGTGTCCAAACCAGAGTCGAACTCTAATCTCACGTCTGTGAGTAATATTTCGGACTTAGTTTAAAGCAACAGGTCAAATGCTGCTCATGTCCACCATAAAATGCCACGTCTCATATTCTAAGGTGGATGAACATATGGTGGACCCGCCTTCTCCCAGCTCAGATGCTGTGGCCGCCCTCGTCAAGGAGCTCCGAGCTCAGCTCGGCATGGCCCTGTTTGGCGTGGACGTCATCGTCAACATAGGAACGCACGCGCTCACCGTCATCGACATCAACATTTTCCCAGGTAGTGCCGGAGTACACAGTGACTTACACACAGGATGACACTGTCGTTTTCTGATGCGCTCTTTTCTCTGCTAGGCTACGAGGGCATGCCTCAGTTTTTCTCCTCTCTGCTCAGCCACATCCAGTCAGTGTTGGACAAACACGCCGCTGCTGGTTCGCACACTACAGGTGGTTCCTCTGAGGAAACGGTGGGTGTTTGTCACCCCAGGAGTTGATCACGGATTGGTTTCATCAAAAGGATAAGCAAAACTTGATCCCGAACTTTATCCTCTTCAAAACACACTAATTACTTTGACCTGCTAATTGTCTCAGCTCTGTTAAGGTCAACAAACAAGCAAAAAAAAAAAAGGCAACCTACAGTACTTGAGTATACTTTTCTGTTTATTGATTGACAGGTAGCATAGAAGAAGATACAGCAGGCACAAAATACAGCACTCTGATTGGCCAGTAATATTACAAATGCCTTTTTTAATCACTTTTTTCCATATTGTGTCATATGTCCTCTATGCTGAGCGCGTCACCTCCCCACAGACGTTTCCTGCAGTGATCCTGCTGGTTTGTGAGATTCATTTTGTATTTCTATAGAAAAAGGAACTACAGTACATTCATGTTGATTAACCTTTGAGCGAACAAGCATCTCCTCTTTGGAATAGATTGCTATAACATCGTCAGTGTTGATTCATAACGTGTATTATTACCACGTGTTTACACAAGTTGACCGTCGGCTCGGCCAGTGTTCAAATACATAAACGTATCGTAAATCTCGGCCTTGTAGAAAAAAGAGAAATATTTGTATACGAGTACCACATGATGCACTTTGATTACATATTAAAATACATTAAATAATTCAGTATTTGGCTAATTATTGCATTCGCGTGTGCTCTAGTCTATACTGTGTTATTGCACTAAGTGGGCCTCCAGTAGCAACCCTGTTAATCGTGCACTAAGTGCATATCTGCCCAGTGTCCTCTTGGGGGCGGTGTTGCTTCATATTTCCCATGACCTTGGCTTACAGACCACATATCTGATATTTACACAAATGACATGACAGCCATTAAAACTGGGATATAAGACTACCTAGTATTTATCGACGTTATTGTCGGTGTCACTGTTACCAAAAAGACAACAAATGGCTTTAGTTTTTCCTCTCCTCCTTCCTTCAGCTCCTCCTTGGCTTGTTAAGATAAGAGTGCAAAGCTGGCTGAGAAACCTGAGGTGACACTTTTAGACCTTGTAAGCTGTAAGTACATCACCTCCTTCTGCCACACGATCAACCAGGCAAAAGACAAACTTAACGTGTGACGTACGTGCAAGTGTGTGTTTCGCTCGTGTCACCCCGGTTCGTCGCAAACAGTCTGGCTGTAACAGTGCGTGCGCCAAATGAAACAAACAATCTTCATTTCTACTTAAGTCGCCAAAGAAATTAAGAGGAGATAACGACTTCCTCCTGGGTACAAATATCAGCAGTATCGTTAACAGTCGGAACAGCAGGGTACACACAGTTATCAGTTATTGCACAAAATATACTGTATATTAAAATACACTAACTACTTATAATAGGGAAACTGTATTTTTTTTTCCTGAAACAAGAACACGCCATCAAAGATGAAACCTTCAGAGTAAAAGAAGCGCTGATTGCTATGATCGTGACTCTTCGTGGCTGACAATCTGCAATCAAACTAACATCTGAATGAAAGTGCTGAAATGCTATTGCATCTATCGCCTGTCTACCTCACGCACGTTATTTACAGATACTCGAGAAGACAGGGGCAACGGTGATGAGCACAAGCTTTCAGATTCTCTGGGAAAACTACGTCTTTTTCTTCAACACAAAAACACATCCAAATGACCAAAAGAGAAGAAAAAAAAGAGTATTCTTTTTCCCTCCAGGCAATCTAAAAGCAGAAATGAACCAACAGTATGTACACTTTGCACTAATGTCCATTTACAGATTCCTCTGAGTGTTGAAGGGATTTGAAGGCTGTTAAATGGAAACTGTGTGAGCCGAATGTGTGACTGTGAATGCAACAAAGGGGTTTTGTCATTCTGCTGTGCGTGTGGGTTATGGGTATCTTATCCTCTGCGAAGTTCCCTCAGCTCTGCAGCCACTTTGCGCAGCTCTGCTTCAATCTCCAGCAGCTCCTGCAGATTAAAAAACAGTTTCACAAGCCTGGAATCAGTGCATTTGTAATTTGAACAGACAAGCTAAGAGAAAGCATATTTATCAACTATCCCAAACCACTGTCAATGTAACAAGAGACCCCCCCCCCAAAAAAAAACAACAACAAAAAAACAAAAAACAAAACATGCAATAATAAATGTTCCATTTAATATTACAGTAACATACTTTGTGATTTATCACCTTTTTTTAACCGCATGTAATGTCCTCAGATTTAAACTTTGTCAGTATTTGTTTTAG